CCGCTGAAATTGATTTCAAAAATTCTATTCACTTTAAAGCACACAATTGTATATTTTTTACAGAAATATTTCATAGTTAATCATGCAGAAATATTGAATGTCACTTTTTTATTCATGTAAAAAAAAGTCCTCATTGAAAGCAGCTTAAGAGAAATCTTCTCGACAACAATTTGTAGAGAATTTTTCAAAAATTGCATGCATAGAAACGGGAATTTCAGACAAAACTCTCACCCCAGGAATTGCATGTTGCAGCAAGTGTAGATTTATTGAGGCAAAACCTCTTTCCTTTTCTTCATAAATTGAACATTTCGTAGTTATACTACTTCCAGCGAAAGAAGCGTCAGGAGAAAATGATTTCTTGCATTTCGATGAAGGGGTAGCGTTCGTGGTATGCATATTTCGCGTGGAAAATATCACAAGAGTAAAGAAGTGTGCATTTTGCCATTTTTTGTCACGATTACATGGCAAAACGTGAGCATTTCACCGAGTGGATTCTTAAAAGAAATTGACATGTCAATCGATATGTGTGTATTGAAATTTCATATTACAATCTTGTCATATTTCTCTGCAGAAAACATGACTAAAAGAAGAATTTCAATGTGAAAATATGAAACATTTGTCTGCAGAATTTTTGAATAAATGAATAATCATGAGTTTCTATATCTATTCTCAATTAAATTGCAGTCATTGGCAATACCGAATGCATAAAAGCAGGGACATTACGGTGAATCTTCTAATTCTAATCAGTCTACTAGAAAATTCATCTACATTTTGAGAAAAACTCAGCATTTTTGCATATTATCCTCGAGGGATTAGTGAGTCCTACATATTCAGTTCCCGTAAATGCCATTCGCCTGCGATTTGCGAATCTGAAGGTTCCCATTGGAAATTCCTCACCATTGCTCCTGGAAATGGAGTTCTTTTCATCTCACTGTGTTTTCCTGGACGAAAAAATCTCATTTCTCCCACCTACTATAGAATGCACATGCTTTCCTGCACCGAGATTTCCATGCTCGAAGCTATACATTCAACATACGTAATGATGCCATTTTATGCGCGACTTTCAATACAACACGTAAATTGGGAAGATAAAGTTTTCAATTCCACAGACGGAGATTTTTTGTGCCCATAGGTATGCAGCTAAGGAAAAAATGCCAGTGGCAGATGAAATCCTCTTTATTTGTGCACCTGGAAAATCCCAAATCGCGACCTCTTCTGCGGGCGAAATGAGGGAATTTATTTAGTTGACGGCACTGAAGGTGAGATGTTGGATTAGTGAGAGGAACTCATTCGTTCCCCTGATTTTCACTTCCGCACAACTCTTATTTGAGCTCTCATACACGAGAATTGTGTCACAGGGTTGTTCATTGGGGTGAATATTTCCAACGCCTCAAGTTTTTGGAGGATGAGCTTTCAATAAAGCAAGGCTTGACTTACACTGACGTCAGAAACATACAATTTCATATCAAATTGCTAGAATGTGAGATCAAAATTCAGTGACGACAAATTTACAGTTTAGCTCACTTCAAATATGATGAATACAGAATTCAGAGCATGAAATGATAAATAGCTTGACAATTATGCTCACTTTGTCACCAATTAATTGCCTATAATAAATTTAAATGCGCCATGCAATGAAATTAAGCGAAAATACAGGTAAATTGGCATTCTCATGTCATGTCTTGAAATTTTGCACATCAAAAATTGTCTAAAACATTCACGTTTCAGTATCTGTGAAGTTTCTTGTATTTGAGAAGGAAGTTACCTGGAAAGCTCCCGGATAAACAATACAGATAAATTTGCTGAGCAAAGGCACTAAGACGCAATGCCGGGGCACAAAGTTATGGTAATTTAATGGTTTCAAGGTACACTTCATGCGAAATTAAATTCGAAGAGGTGTATACAAGACAAGTGGTAATATTTGCCCAACGGACTTTTGAGCTTTTCTTCACTTCTTGTGCTATTTTCATCTCAAACCACCATATTCTATGCTTAACAAAACTTTACTCAGGGTACTTTTGGCAATACTGTGCAATAGTTTGGAGGGTATCTCAGTGGAGAAATTAAGAGTTGCACCATCGCCAAGTCCCACAAAACACACTCTATACAGATGAAGTTTTATGTTGGGGAGCAACAAAAGAATGGGGTAAACTTTTAACAGTTTCTCTCATCGTGGAATGGCTCGAGTGGGGCTCAATTCAGCTCACAGGAAGCGTCCCAAGAATGCATCAGGCCGCAGAGCCATAAGACTTGGGAAATTGTAGGAATTTTTCCATCTCGACGGCGCCCATAAATATGAGCAACTTGGTAAATTTATGAAATCTCCTCCATTCATGACATTGAAATCTATATTTTCTCCTGATTTTTTTTTGCTAAGAAAAGAGCATAAATAGAATCAATTCTATAGAGTTTTCTCACTTGAGAAAACTCAGCGATCCCTTGGGATTTTCTTTACTAACCTAACACCCAAACTCGATTCTTAAATAATCTGCCATTTCTATGTCCTGATCTGTATGCTGAGTGCACACAATTGAGGCCACACTCCATGATCTTGATGTGGAATTTCATTCTGGCGCTTCTCCTTGGCGTGTTTCTTCTCAAATCGTCCTCAGTGTCCCATATTTGCACAAAGGAGAATCTTTTAAACTGCCAAGATAGCACATTTGAAGAGAACTTCCAGCGTCGCAAATATAAGTTAACTCTGTCATTTGGTAATAACACTACTGGAATAACAATTAACATCATTTCCACTTCATTTAGAAACCGCTGCCGTCGTCATCACATCATTAGTGGCTTCTGCTGTTTGCAGAAGGACACCCATTTACTGTTGTGGCGTATTTGCTCTCAGGAGCCTCACACCCACCCCGTGTCTCGCGTTTTTAATTCCCCACCATCACCAGCAGCGAAATGAGCAATTTAGTCGCAAAGCGACGACCAATTTCCCACCCACGGTAGGGATTTTTCACCAACACGGCAAACTGCAAAATGTGTGTTTGTAGAGCGAAGAAAAGTCTGGGCGGCAAAGTTTATAAGATATTTTATTTAAACAATACTGTTTGGGAGGAAATAAAGCAAAAGTCGTAAAAACTAGCCATTAAACTGCAACATTCCGATGGAGCCAACTTGTGCTCAACACTTTACTAGTTTATGGCCAACCCCACTAAAACTCCATTCCTGCCAACTTACCCATACTTTCCTTATGAGAATGATAAGAGCATGAGTGGGCAATAAATTTCAAGAAATTTTTCCCTCACAGATTTCATCTCATAATTGAATTTTAACGATCCTCCCGCCAGTGCCATAAAGACTGGCAGTATAAGCCCTGTCTTCAGTGCATCATTGCAGAGTTGCATCACGTAAGCACACTTTGAGATTATTTCAACTCAATTCCATGGCAATTGTAGGAGGTCAATCATCCACAATGTGTGTGGGTAGGTTCTCATTCTGGAGTGTTGTATGAACTCATTGCAGAAGTTGAGAGTGAAATTGAGTTGCATTATTGGAAACTATGAGCCATTCGGCGCACCATTTACTGGCACAGCAAAGGTTTCATGTGAAAGCAGAAAAGCGCATTTTTATTCAAGTACTTTGAAACTCCATAAAATTCATTCCTGATTGAACAATTGCGCCCATAAACACAGTGGTCAAAATGTTGCAAAATGCTGCAAATCCCCAGAGTTTTATCCCAAATGTGTGACCCACAATGGCTTTCAAATAGGCTAAAAAATCACTCTGACTGACCTTTGTCGCTGCTTTCACTGAAAACAGTCACGTACAGTCCATGACGGGGGATTTTTTCTGTGTAAATCACATCCCCAATGCAAGGCTTCATGAGCATCCTGTCCAATTGCACGACCCACAAATGCAACAGGAAATCTCTCGTGATCTCCCATCGTCACTCTTTTGCATCTCCACATCCAAGCGTTGCTCATGAAAAATATCTCCCAACCAAGTATAGATTACACTAATGCTGAATTGCTGTGAAAATCCGGCTTACGTTTTGAAATTTATACAAGTAGTTACGTTTTCCCATATACGAACGCAAATGAATTCACGTGTGAATAGCGTTCTTCTAGCATTCACCGCCACTTTGCGAAGCTGTGAACAAGTGGAGGATGCTGATGCTCATGGTGTAATTCAGTGTGCACCATCTGGGGTATCTTTGTGGCAATCCTTAATTCGCAGGATGTAAGTTTATCATACTTAGGAGATGCATTAGACATAACTTTGTCCTCTTGATTAGCACCAGAGATGTTAACTATAACTATTTTTGACTATTCTGCCTGTTGAAAAAAATTAACACTGATGCGCAACTGTTGCACATGAAAACTCAATTCTAGAGCTTTTAATCTTCAGAGACCCGAAATCCTATTTCGTTCACGCTGGAACTTTCATCTCGGTTGGCTGACTTCAGCTAAAAGTCTGTGCGACAAAGAAGCACATTTTCAGGAAGGGGTGCAGAAAAAAGTTTCAAGACCCTCTTGAGCCTCGCTCGAGGATGGGAAGACAATAAATTATGAGTCGCGTCTTTGTCGACTTCACACACTAAATGAGTTTCCGGGGTGCATCCGAGGAGGTGTAAGCGGAGTCACATCCGCGATGGTAAAATTGCAACAAAGTCCGGATACTGTGATATTTCACATCTCGTGCCGTGGCAGAAGTGTGAGAGTGTGAGTGACTGTCTTCCCCAACGACATCTTTCACACCCGCCCAAAACTCCATTTAGGAAATTTAATAGTTAAACGTCTTTTCTTTCGTGATAAATCTATTTGCATATAGTACAGTGCTGAATGCCTGCGCCTTGCCTTTTCCCATCGCTGCACATTCAGGCAATGCACCATTATTTCTATCACACCCCGCCAACCCTTAAATCTTTCATGGGCACCGCACAAAAAGAACTCACGCCCTAGATTGTGTGAGAAATGGTGCACTTGCTCTCTAAATGTTTTCAACTTACATAATTCTCCCACCCTGATATTATATCAACATTCACCACTTACATAGACTACAGCATTCATGGATCTCTCCGAGCGCAGCGGGCAAAAATACAGGCGACTGAAACGGAGATGGAGAAAAAGAGTTAATAAAATTAGTGACTATAATGGCCCATGTTGGGTAATGTGTAAAATAGTGCAATCTTATGTGGATGGGATAAAAAGTCAGAGTGGAATTATTTATGGGAGTCGGACGGAATTTATCCAGATGCAGAAGCCGGATGTGAAAAGGCATACGAAAAAGTCAATCTCGTTTTTCTCCATGTCAAGTGTCTCACTCAAGTGTTCTTCCACATCTCTATGGATGCTTAAGTAAAAATGCTGAGGCACTCCAGCGACCATGAACTTGATCTCTGATAAAATCTCTCTTATTAGAAGGCGCAGAAGTGCTCAAAAGACCGACAAACTGAGGGACAGTTTATTAAGAGATAAGAATTGCGACCGCACTATAATATTATTGCAATTTAACCAATTTCGTCGTGTGATGCTATCGCAAATGTTAAGAATTTCAATTGGCAATTCCAAAGAAATGAACTATCATAAGAAAGAATTCTGGAAGGGAGTGGTTCAAGGCAAGAAACATCATTTCAACACATTTGTGATAAGGTTAGAATTTTAATATCCGCAAGTACAATGTAAATCAATTACCAAGTATTTCCTCGATTGTCATCGCTTTCTCTGAATTCTTTTCATTTAATATGACAAATCAGAATTCTTCCCTGAAGCACACAGACTCCAATTCCATCGCTCTTTGCGAGATACAATTTGCCAAAATAGAGAGCAGAAAGTGGAAAGTATAAACGATTTTTCAACAAATAATTTCTGTTGACTGCGAGGGAAACAGATAAATTCTCTTTCACGCCATCAATTCTTCTGAATTGATTTATTCCACTCACCCGAATCTAGCATTCGACAACGAAGCATTGAACCGGGATGGATTGCGATTTTTATTGCAACATTCTCAATTCAATTGAGAGTCCGTAGACGATTGAGAGAGCGGTGCACATAGCTTTTGTTAGCCCTGATGCCTCGAGGAAGAGATTTCTTGTGTTTATTGTCTATTCGAGTTGTGTATTTAATCCTCTCGCCCACTCCCAACTTTCAATTGAGAGCAGAGCAGTAATTTTGGTGTGGGGAATGATCAAAATCACAGAATGGTCATGCTTCCTCCTCAATGTTCACAAAATTCCTCCCCAACAGTCAAATATCATCACAAAATTCAGATTCTTGTTTAATTTTGGCAATACACAAGCGTATTTACACAGGAAGATTACTTCACTGAATTTCATTGTGTAGCAAAACCAAAATCGCGGACTGCTCAGTGGTGAGTGAGTTGAAGTGGTTGAAAAGATTCACGTAGAGATACTGAGATGGCCAGAAAACATCCTCAAGACTCTCTCGTGCTTTAAGAGCTGCCATTGGTAAAGACTGTGAAATAGTATTAAGCATTTATTCATGATGCCCGCCGAGGATTCAGCAAAGGAGAACATTTGCATCGTGAATTGTGCATTCATTTGCTTATACGCCTCCCAACCACAATCGTGGCACTCACAGATAGAAAGTTTGCCTCCTTTTATATTTATGCGCATAACATAATGGTGCGAGTTGCAGACGAAGAGCTTTCAGCTTATAACAAAATTATGCATTTTGCATGCAACTTATACTTTCCTGCTAACCCGCTTCGCCTTTTTTTCCTCCATCCCCCATCCCGTCATCCCTCTGCCAACCCTCATTCACTTCCACTTTGTGCATTTCCAAGTTACTCCATGCGAGGATGTGTGCAAGAATTGCATGAGGATAAATTCGCGCTTTTGAGATCACACCAGGAGCACGATGGAATGTTAGTGAGCTTTTCAGGAAAGCTCTCTTGTGTTCTGACATGTTGGGAAATTGTGTATGGAGAATTTATTTGCACGCACAGAAGAGACACAAAAAGGGGCACTAATGAATTAAACATGGGCAAAAGTTGTACAAGATAAATAAACTCACCCTCGTCGTCTTTGTTTATGGACTAGAATTGTTGTCCACATCAGAATAAAAGTACGACGGTTCGGATTGTGTGGATGAGATTATTTAAAAAAAGAGTACTAACAGAAATCGCAAGATTCATAAGGATAACATATAAAAAATTATAATCGCCTTAAACTTTTCTTTCCCATTGCGAAAAAAATCACACTGAGAATAATAGTAAAAAAAGAGGGATTGAAGTGAAATTTTACAAAAAGCAACATTTGCCAGAATATTGCAATACGCCCCAAAAGAGCACATTCAATATGACTTTAATTGGCTCTGAGTCCTCATACTGAAGAAATTTAGGTCATGCTGGTTGTGAAAAAAGGCTGAAAAAGAAGTGCTGTGCAACTAATAAATCACGCGCTATCTAATTCCTCATAAATTCCAATCAAAAGACATTGTAGTGAAATCAATTTTGTGGGCAATGATTGATTTCCAATGGGCTCATAGACGGATAGAATGGCCCGCTAACAGGTTGTTGTCAAGCCTCAACAATGCCCCAAGTGTTGTGTATATATATCTCTTGTATATCTCCTACGTTAGGGCATAAGTTTGGGGCCAAACAATAACTATTTGACTTACTTTTTATGCACGGAAGTAAAATAACATTGAGGGCAGCGCGCGCGTCAGTGATTTAGAAGCGACTTCCTTGCGTACCGGGCCCTACACTAAATCACTGGTACGGTCATAAGAGTCATGCTATAAATCACCCCGTGATTGGCACGAGTCACGGAATTAGGTTTTTTTTTCTTCCTCGTACACCCAGAGATAATCAAACAAATTATTTGCAGCAAATTATATGCCATTCCGCCACATAAATGAGTATAAATTGTACAATTTATTGCCGAATAATTGTCAAATAAACAGAAAAATCATAAAACGGTCTGATGCCCATGGCTGAAAAGAGAGTATATTGATTTCCACTTGCTCCATTTGGACCAATATTGTAGCCCATGTCTGATGGGGCCGAATGCCATCGTTTACTTCTCAATGGCGCTTTTGTGGGTGATTCCAGTTAACTCTCCCCCATTCGCATTGACAGTCAACTCTCTTTACACGATGCCCTGTGTAATCCATCCACTTTTCCGGAGGCTCTCATTACATTTCCAATTTGGACAGAAAAAATAATTAATTGTGGATACATTGGCAAAATTGCGGGCATGATTGGGAAAGAGGTCATCCCTCAAATATCGGAACCCCTTCGCATCTCCCCACTTCGGCTACTAATGAAAGCCATTCCAGCGAACGAGACAGGATTGATAATCAAGCAAATACAATCATTCTTCTTGGGGCTTTTCAATGGGCCCACAAAAAGAGCTTGTATACATTCTCACTTATGTTTTTCCAACCCACCCAAAAGTCTGGGGCGCACTGACGGAGGGAAAAATACAACACAGAGAAGAAGCATTTCTGTGATTGCCATCTTCCACCCCACATTTCTCTCCGCAGAACAAGCGTGGGTGGCAAAAGGGGAAAAATTTATTTGAATTTCCTTCCGACCCTGCAGACATTCATCGATGTGAGTCCTCAACCCTGGGCCGCACAAAACTTATTCCGTAAAAGTTTCATAAGTGTCTCTGGGAATTGCGGAATGAATGAGAGAAGGCGTCTCGGATTCGGCTCGACGGCGCCACCAGCGTCTACGAGGAAGTCACCCATGTCGACCTCCCCCCCAAAAAGGGGTGGGCTTTTTTCCGGGTGGCGTTAAAACTATGGAGGTGGCTGGAGGTGAGGGAAGAGAAGAAAAAACAAGAGTTTTATGGCAACGTCCAACGAGTAATTTCTCTTGAAGAAATCGATACCACTGCGCCGAGGGAGGGAAGAGCCCATGAACTTCCAATCACCCCAACTGACTTTATTTACGACTCACGTCGGGGTTGGACTCGTGTGAGGCGAGACGAAGGAAAATCCAAACACCCACCGATCACCATGATTTTATAATTCACCATAAATCTCCACCTTATCTTCTTCAACCCCTTATTTACACAACAAGACAATGCGGCGGGAGGTTCTGCCACGAAAAGAAACATCATGGCGATGCAAGAGATTCTGCAAGACTTCTGCATTCGTGTAGAGGCGATAAATAAAGTGGCTAAACAAATAATGTGATGCAGTTCAGGGGGAGAATCCGTATTTACACTTGAAAGTGAATTAACTCATTACATAAATATTATTCACCAATACTACACATGGAAATGTAGAAAGTGATGAAATTCTCATCATTTTTCCTTTGATTGTCAATATTTTTTGGTTCGCTATGCGAATGTAGCCAAAATTAATTAAACATTCACAATCACGGCTGGAATTCACACAGGATTAGAAAATTCCTCTTATATAGAGTAATTACAGTGTTTGGAATTTGAGTTAATTTTCGAACCATTTGAATACATGTTCTATGAACGAAATTGCAAATTATGTCATACCACGTATCAAAATGTAGATAAATTTTAATTCATCTCAATTAACGCACAACTCCATGAAAAGTCCATTGAAATATTAATGTAACAACAATAAATCCATCACATATTATAAATCTAATATCATGTCGGGGATGAATGGAGATAATTATGGTTCACAGAGATTTCAATCTAATTTGAGTAATTTTGTGCGATTTGCACAAAATATCTAATAAAACTAATCATTCAGGTGCAATATTGCGTGCATTAATGATGGGCATACATGCGCTGTTGTGGGAAACCATTGCTAAATGTTTTCGGCTTTCAATAGTCATGTATAGTCAAACATATCAAAATCGAGAGCGCAACATAAATATGGAAATATCATTATGTTTAATGCATAACCATCGAAACGTACATCATCATATTCTATATTTCCCCATTTCATTTGACCTATATTTTCAGTAGTATTTAGGGGCGGCGGCGTATGAGAAATTTGGAAATATATAGTGTGAATAGTAAATGAAACGCAAGTCTTTGCACTATAAGATTACAATAATTTGAATTTCACTGTGGCATTTCGAATGTTTCGTCCAACAAAACGGAGAAATGATAATTTCATGATTGATTGAGACGATTACATTGCCACAGA